ATTCTTCTGCTTTCATGGCAGCACACAGACATCTACAACAAAGCCTGTATTTATTTTCTTGCAGAATATCTCAGAAATACCTAATCCATCAATAAATATAAATAAACTCAGCCACCTAAGCCTGCAGATGAGCAAGAGTGCTCTGACTGTCACACAAACAGATCTCTGTTATCACCAGCTTCATCAGGAGCTGTGGGCAATCTGGCTTCCACCACAAGACAGACAACAGCTGGGTCCTCTCTGACCTCTCAGATGTTGTGGAGGCTGGTGGGATGGTTTAACATGTGCTTTCCTCCACTCCAGAACTGTGGTCCAGAGACAATTTGCTTCCCCTCTTGCTGTGGGAGATGCTATGTTACTTGCATTTCAACTCTGTCTCAGTAAAAGAATATTTTCTATGATATATTTATTATTTTAAGCAACAAACCCCACTGCCTTAAAGCCTACTGATTTGGCTGCTAATAAACATTGTGAACTGGAGCAGCATCTGAATTTCTGAAGCAGTAAATCCAGCTCTCAGCTACAAAACTGACAGCTCTCATAAAAGAAAGAAAGAAAAAAAATGCAAGTAAAACATCCTAAGGAAATTATCGTTCAAATTAACTGCAGACATAAATTTATCCATCTGTTATCATAAGTGTTACTTGAAAATTATTTGCCCATAAAAATGAAATAAGCCAGAGTGGGTTTTTTTCTTAAACATTGACTTCATGTGTATGGTCTTAGCTGCCAAAATATTAACTCTTTTTAACAGCCTGTGTGCTCTTGGCTGTGTGTCTCTTTCTTGACTGTAAATGGACCTTTATAAATTGTCTGTATAAATGATATCTAAGGCACTTCACTGTTATTACAGATTAATAATTCCAAGCAAACCATCATGATTTTCAAAACACAAAACCCAAGTAAATGCCCAAATTTTATGTGGAAGTGCTCTATTTAGCTACCTTTATTCATTCAAAGGGAAAAGCTACCCTGTCCATTAAATGAAAAATATCATTTAACTGCACAAACAATAACTGCTGTTTCATTCCTAGGGTACAGTTACTGTGAATACAGATATGGTGAGATTTTCACATTAAGTTTGAACATGGTAAACACTGGCAGTAGTGGAACAAAGTCCACAGAACTGGATACAGAGCTGGGTCTCTTTTACACAGAGCCTGTATTTTTCTTGGAGAAGAGAAAGAAATGAAAGTAGAAAGAAAAAATTGCTATTTTCACTTCTACGTGTTTTATAAAGGAATAAATTAAAAGTCCGAATTACTTCAACACATTTAAATAATAAGTAAAGTCATGGAAGACGGAAAAGGCAGAAATCTATTGAAAAGTCTATTTTTTATTTTTAAGAACGACAGAAAACTGAAAAGTTCCTTTTAGAATTGTGTAATTTTTTTGGTTTGTTTTAATACTTTTGACTGGAACAAAACCCCCCATCTTTCAACAGCATAAAAAAACTTTGGTTCACTTTATGAAAAACTGTTTTATCTCAGCTTGCTTGGATATTCAAATGTCTGTCCCCTGCCTACTCCTTTGTCCCCAGGATTTGTCTGCAGGATGTTTCACAGCCTTGTGCTGTTACAGGCCAGACTCAGAACCAGCTCTCCTAGGATGCACCACAAGGTCTTTACAGCACAGCTCTAAGTGGCACATAGTGAAATTTTAGTGGGAATCCCAGTTTACAGGGGAGCAATGACACCCAAGCACCTGGGATTTTGATTGACAGCTGCAAAAATGGACTTGTTTTTCCAGAAGAAAAGAGAAAAATTTTGTTTTCCACAAATGCCCATTTTTTTTACCAAAAAACCAGACACTTGCATCCTCCAGCTCGGTGGCACCAGGCTCCTGCACCACCAGGCTGCCAGGATATCATCATCTTGTTTTTCATTTGAAGTCATTCACTGGATTTGTTTGGGGTTTTTTGTGGTTTTTTTGGTTCTACAATCATGGAGCAGGATACACCGAGCCAAACCTGACTGCAATTTGCAAAGACACCTTCATGGTGCCTTCTGCCTTAGTCAAACTTATTATACTAATTAATTATTAGATGTTACAGAACTACCCATCCACGGCACTGAAATCTTACCATAAGCTGAGGATGATGTCCCAAGAGAGCAACAGAGCCTCAGGAGCTGCATGCCACTGTGCAAAAGCCAGGTAAAACTTCACTACAGCAGCATGCACAAGGTACAGCTCCCTGCAGGGAGGCCACCAGAGGAACAGGCAGGGCTCAGCCTCAGGAGGGCTGTTTTCTGGGAGAGATCCTATTTCCCAGCCCCTTGGCTCCAGTTATACCTGGGAGTAACAGGATACCTCTGAGTCCATATGAATCATCCTGCAGGGCTCGGGGCTCCCTCCTAGAGCAGCCCTGGTCTGTAAAACTGCATTTGTTGAAGTACTTCCAAGGTGCTTTTCTCATAACAGGCTTATTTTCTTACTTAGGAAAATACTTATTTTCCTAATTTTATTTGGCAGTACAGTTTTATCCAATTCTTCCTTTCCCAGAAACTATGATGGAGATTATGAAATTTGGGAACCAATTAATAATTCACATATATAATTACTATTCATTCATTAGTTCCAATATCCTCAGAATTAAGGGATTAATGCAGACATGATGCTTGGCATAAAGGGCACTATCTTCCGAAGCACATTGTCCAGAATATTTTTTTTCAAATTATTTCCCCTTCATCATGTCAGTCTTAGAGATGCACAATCTCAAATTGCATTGCTCTGGTGGCAAATAAACTCCTACAGACTATCATGCCTATCCTAACTGAAAGTGCATTTTGCACTAAAATTTTGCACTTCAGAATTCATGGGAATATGTGAAAGCCTCAACTTTCATCAAAAACATCCTTTACTTTTATAAAAGGCAAAACCAAACCCTCAAAGTTTTATAAAACAATTTGAATTCATGACCCAAGCATATACCAAAGAAATCCCTCAAAATAAAAGAACTTGATATAAGGATGCAAAATAAAAAATTTATCAGTAAAACCCACTCTTCAAGTTCAGTGCATGGGGGGAAAAGAGGAAACAAAAATCCTTCAGGAAAAAAAATTGCATTTGAATCATAAGAGGAAATGAACTTGCCTGCACTTTGGTCACATAGAAGTTTTGGCATTGAAAAAAAATTAATATTCTTAGTGTTCTCTGCATGAAGAAAAAAACACCCCAGAGAAGAAAGCAGGAATTAATTGTATTTAAAGCAGAGATAGCCTGCAGGGATGGCCCAATTTGGTGAGAAAAGCCAAAGGGACGCTGGAACAAAGAACCCAAAACAAAAAGCTTCCCTTGGCATCTCCCACACCCCAGTTTTCAATAAACCCGTTTGTCTGTTCTGTCCTTCCATGCTCAGTGCTGGGAAAACAAAACAACCCAGCAACAAAGGCAGTTTTCAACATCACCAGAAATGGGCCTAAAAGACAAAGTGAGCCTTGCTCTTTATGAGCCAGCTTTCCCAAGGGATGCTCCCTGGGAGTTTCAGGTAGGTGCCCTCTGATGGGGACAGGGGAAGAAAGTTAAAACCTCCTGTAAGTTAGAAGTGCCTTTCTAAAGAACGTAACACAGAATTAGCTTCCATTGGCTTAATTTCACCTCTGAACAAATAGCTGCTGGATCCATGACTCACCTAGTCCATGGTCTGTGGACTAGGTGTAGAGCATGACAAGTAGGCAGTGATGCCCAGTTTATCCTCTGAGCTCCATTTATGTACTGGTTAAGGGATTTCCAAAACTGGAAGCAGTTCTCTAAACCATCGTGTTTGATAATCTCCGATAAACCTCGCTCCTTGGGTTAGACAGGCTGGTTTTTATGAATGCCTGTCCAATTATGAGCCATCATGATATATTTTCCTACTGTAAAAACAGTTAAGCAAAACTTCTTGGCCAGAAATATCAGCCAAGCCTGAGATTAAATAAGCTTGGGAAAATTCAGTCCGGATACACTCAAAAAATAAATACATCAAAATGCACATGTCTCTGCTAAAACCCACAGTCTTTAATCAAAATTCCCACTGAAGTGAGTAGCGAAAGGTGAGTTTTTGCCAAAGTTCATAGTGAGAGCCATGGGATGAGAAGCAAAGTTCTGTCAAAAATGAGAAATTGCCAAGGAGAGGGAGCAGGAGGAGCAGATTGGTTCTCAACACAGCAATCTCAGCCTGCCTTGAAGTCGAGGGAGCTCAAAGAGACACTTAAGCTGGTGCTCAGGATTCTGCTGAGCTGGGGCCTGAATGGTTATTATTTATACTCTTATCACACAGAAATATGAATTCCATTGGACAAGGGAAAAGAAATTTAAAAAGGGAGAGAGAGGACAGTAGCATGTACTGTCGCAGGCTCACAGAAGTACTGCAGACATCTTTGTTCTGCAAACTTCAGGGAGAGCACTTAAACAGGAAGAGGGACACTTGGGACTTTTACTTAATGGTTTAAAATGCTGGTATTCAGCTACACACACAACTCATGCACTTGTGCAAAGCCCCAAACCAGCCAGTCTGTATACATACAGCACCAAAGCAGCTCAGTCACCCATTGAGAAGGTTTAACTGCAGCAACCCCAGAAGGTTTGAAATCCTGGGCCAGTGCCTGGAGCAACACACACGTGCCTGTGCCACCAAAGGGTTTGTGTTCTGACACTCACTGCCATCAGTACATGGGCTTATGAATTCAAAGGCACTTGAATCATCTTCTACACCTGTGGCAAAGCAACCCACAGGTCTGGGAAGGGAAGAAACACAACAGCATGAAAAGCGCTTACAGCTTCACATTTCCACAGCCAGATGGAAAACAAAGGAAGTGCAGCCTGTGTGCAGCCTGCCTGGACCTAGATCCATCTCCTACAACAACTCACTCAATTTTAGAAGTAGGTCTGGACAAACAAAATTCTTTCAAAGGAAAGCCTTGTAAGAAATTTTCCCACAGGCTGAGACCTGAATCATTCCAAACACTTTACTTCCAATCATAGTAACAGAGTAAAACAGAAAAAAAATCATGCCATACCTGCTCCAAAGGCAAAGAAGAAGCTCTTGTCTCTGTTTTCCCTTAAAAGTGACATCACTCTTCTCCCCATCCTCTCATTCCTCTTGTAGATGAGCTCCTGTCTGAAGTAGCTGTCTATTTCTTGAGCTGTCACCTGCTCATGGGGTGGGAGTGTTGTGTTGATGAAGTTTGGTACCTGAAAGAGAGAGGCCATAGCCCAGGTGGCATTGGTTAAGGAACCCACAAAACACTGCATGTTTTAATTCAGCCTTCTTGAAGCCACCTGAGCACCACTTTTGCACACAAACTCACTAGAGGATCGGAACACAGGAGGTAATTAGGAACTCTCAAAAAAAGAAAAAAATTCCCAATTAATATACTCTCTTTTAAAAAAGTGAAACTAGTATTTTACTAAAGGAAACTTTAGCTAGTTTTGATTTTGCTCTGTCCCTTCGTGAAAATGTAGTTTCAAGTGTTACATCTGGGTGAGTTACTTGGACCTTTATTCTCTGCTTGTTCAAAAAAAATTATTGGTTGTTTAATAACAAATTCCTGTGATCTGTTCTCAGCTGAGGTCACCACAGACTAAGTAAGGACTGTAAGATTTGGCTTGTATATGTGTTTGTTTAAGAACCTAACAGTTTAAAAAGAGGAAAGGATAGCAAATGCAGACAGAGGAAGATGCACACAGGGTAAACCCCCTTATCCTTACATGCTATTAGGTCTCAACAGAGAAGACCATGCATTGAAACACATAAATCCCTGGAACATTCCTGATATATCTGAGGAAGGGACTTCCACAAGAACTGCTCCTTCAGTCCCTGCTTTGGTGAGGAGAGATGTTCACAGACACAGCAGAAAGGTTGAAAGTTCAAGGACTTTGGTCAGGGCAGCAGACCCAGGAATGAGCCAAGATCCAAGCTGTAATGGACAGATAATCAAAAGTCTCTGATTATTAGGATAACAATTTGTTTTGAAGCAGTGAAAGTCCCAGGTCTACCACAAGGTTTAGGAGCCCATGTGCCCTGCAGAGAGAAGAGCTGTAAGGGGGCAGTCTTTGATGACTGCTAACAGGACCCAAGCAGTTTCTGGTGATTTTCTGTGCCTCACCACTGGAAAGCAGCTTAAGCTGCAAACCCCAGGTTCAGATTTCTGAGTCCCTAGGTACATGTAAAGCTGCCAGGATTTCCAGTGTTAATCTGAGTCAGTGGTAATGACATTGCATGCACAGCCCATGAGGGGAACATCCTTCACTCACTATGCTGAAACACTTGGTACAGTGACTCTGTTACTTGGGTTAATTCCATCTCTGGTTTTCTACTATACAAAATTCCTGTACTCATTTTCTAAAACTTGCCTTTTGTTTTTGTTTTTTAGCCCACCTCTTCCCATTCCAATTGGTCACATTGTTTTATCACAACAATTTTTGTCTGTTCCCGCCCTCTTTGCTTATACTGCATCTCCAAAAATTTTCAGCAAGTCTTAGGGAGAAAAACTGATTTCCATCTTCCCAGTGACTCTCCTTAAAATTTTTTTATGGCAGCCCCATCTCCATCACTCCTAATATATGTGAGGGACCAAGCAGCAGGGATTTCTCATCATGCATTATGCAGGATGACTCTACACCTCACTCTGGATTCACACTAAAGGCTGTTCCCAGTTGACTGAGACGAAAAAGGGGACCACACCTCCTGAACCAGGGGATCCTAAGGAGATGGAGGTAACACTCCATGTAAGAGACCCTGCCCCTGCCTATTGGGTCTCACAGACCAGCTGGACCTTTGATTTTCCAAACAGCTTCTCAACCTGCTTTGCCAAATCACCGTGCTCCTCACAGCATGTCCTTCTTTAAGGGTTCAGTCACATTACCCTGAGTCATTCCTTCCTCCAGGCTTTCCAGCATGGCTTGGCGTGACCAGTGTAACCTGTGAACTCCTCAGAGTATGCAAGTACTTTGCACCTTGTTCTCAGTTTAGCCCTGAGCCAGCACTCAACAAGCAGTAAGTCCCATTAAGTCAGACCTCTTGGAGACACCAGTTCCCTGTGAAAGACCAAGGAAGTTACCTCCATGTCTGGCAAGAATTCGTGTTTGTCTCAGAGGGATCGAGGAGGAGACTGACAGTGTCAAAGAGATAAAATGCTGCTGGCTACAGCAGCAAAGGACATAGTGGCTTCCATTCTTGGTGAAAAACAGGGAGAGATTTATATTGTAGGAATCAAGTCTGAGGAATGAGTAGCCATTTTACACTTGCAGTAACCTCTGTAATGCAAAGCTGCAAATTAATTGGTCCATGGAGATATCCCAAACCTTTGCATCTCCCTATACTGGGACTCTCAGGCAGGAGTCAGGGAAGCCTTCAGGCACTGAAGTGGAAGGTGACATTTTGTGGAAGCATCTGAAGGGTCAACATCCACATAAGAGAAGTCTCTTCTTCCCTGCTTCTGGCTGAAGGGAAGTGAAGGCTGGGTCCTGGTTTTGAATCACTTGAGCTGCTTTGGGGAATGCAAGGTACAGCCTTGCCTGTGAGCACAACCTGCTCCTACACACAGCAGCAGCAGCAACGCTTGGGGACCAAGCAGCTTTGTGCATCTCACTGGTGATGGAGGTCTAGATACCCAAAAAGCAGATGTTGTATAAGGTCTTTGCCAAGAAGGGAAGCACCTTTCACTGCCTTGTGCACTCCATCACTTGCAATCCTACATCCACATTTAACCTTCTCTCTATCTAACCTAAAATACAGTACACAAAACAGAGACATTTACTTGCCTCTGCCCCCACCCCCCCGCCCCTTTCCTTTTTTTCCTTCTCTTCTGTGGGGAAAGTTTGTCAATGGCAGAGAGATAAAACTAAAACCAAGGACTGGGTTTTGTCAATCTTTCTTTTGCTTGCCCAAGGAACAAGACAAAAGAAGGCATCACTTAGAGAGGCACAGCATCAGCTACAGTCCTGCTGCACTGTGTGCATTCCTGCACTTCTGATGCCTGGCAAAAACAAAATCTGCACGTGTGTTTCAGTGTGTGTGTGGCAGAGGAGAGAAGATAAATGACTGCAGTAAGTATGCCCCTACACAGTAGTGCAACCACACTCTAAGCTGTGACACTTGCCCCATTAATCACCTCCGCTCCTCCCTGTATCCAGGTCCTTTCCACAGTCAGTGACACACACCATGCCTGGCTTCAGGGAGACAGCTGCTCCTGTTGATTTAAGAAACCCTTAAACCAGACAGGGATCAGGAAGTCAAGAAACAGTCACACACAATTAGGAAACTCTTAACTGGAGCCAGAGTTTAAGTTTGGGGGTTTTTTTGGAAAAGAGAAGATCTGTTATTTTAAAAGGATGGGCTCAATATGCACCAAAAGGATGTACCTTCCCCCTTTTATTTTATTGTAATTTTGTGAAAAAAAAATTTAACATTTTAATGATAAGAATCTGTTGGTTTTGAGCTGAGAGTGAATGATTGAGACATTTGCTGTGCCCCTGGGTGATGGACTTATCTAATAATACCTGAATATTGCTACCAGTATTTAAATGTACAATGGAGTGGCTTATGTGTCCATTAAAAAATCCAAACTTCTAATTTTGCTGTTCACATAGGAGAGCAACAGCTGGATCAGGAGAAAAATGCATGACCTGGGGTGTGCTCACTTCTAGTGGATGCACATGATAAGAGACAAATAGATTCTTTACATCCAGTCTCTGCAAGCCGTGCAGCTTTCTAAGAACCCAACCAACTCATATTTGTATATCATTCTAGTGGAAAACTGAATAATGTATCGCACTGAGGCATTAAAAATAAAGAATATTTTGTTTTACTTAGTAAGGTAACACTCCTCCTTTATTCTATTCCTATTTCTTTCAGGTTACAGCTCTCCTACAGACAGTACAGATGGACCACAAACTCAGTTATTAGGTACACCCTGCATTTCTCAGTTAAACTTTTAAGGTTAAAGAAAGGGACTATGAGAATAAAAGAGAAATCCCAGCCTTGCAAAAATTTCTTTCCCTCCCCACTGTCTGTGTAGTTTTACTTGAGTCAGTGTCCCTGATGGAATATATGTGTGGATAAAGCTCTGTATACACGTCTGAGCTCACAGTGCTGTGGGATGTGGGCCATAATTCTTCACCTTTGAAGTCAGTGGGAGCTTTAGGGAGAAGAAAGAGGAAGGATTGTGGAGTGGTTATGACACTACCCTGAAAAAATGGCTCTGCTCCCATGGGTGACACAAATCTCTTACATGATCACAAGCATGTCATTTGGGTTTAAACCTTCAAAGGAAACTCAGCACTTAACCTCCACTAAATGTCTTTGAAGCATTTGGCTTTATTCCTCCTGTGTCTCAAAAGTCCATCTGTAAAATGGGGACAGAGACTTTCTAAAAAGACTTTCTACCTTGATGTTACATATGAGGCACTGGCTAAGTCTAGCCCTGGAGGGACCCAAAGGAAGATCCAAAGTCCAACACAATGCTCAGCAGCAACCTCTCTTCCCATAAATTTCCATAGAGGCTTGGATTCTGCTGCAATCATTAGCACAAGAGCTAACAAGATACTTTAGCTTAGAAAAACACACCAGCCATAACTCAAGATCTATGCTATGCTTTCAGCTTTGCCTGTAGAGACAAAGAAAAGATTAAAAAAAAAAAAAAAGAGAGAGAGAAAAGCAAAATGTAATGGTGCAGAGTCTTTTATCACATTTAGGGCTTACTGCCAAAGTGTAGCTGAAAATTCATGGACACAGAACTACATTAAAAGTCCATTTTTTATATTTACTATTTTTTAATATTTGGACAAATATTCTGGGCAGAGGCACAATGCCAGAGTTGTGAACATCTATCTGCAAATAATTTTTTTTGGACACACATAAGCACCAACATCTTTGATTATATTTTTTTTTTTTTACTTTGGATTTGTTATCTACAGTGGAACTGCTCTAGACTCAGTCCAGTATCCAATCATTATCATATGTGGAGTAGGAGTGTTATCGTTCCTACTTCTATGCACTACATTTCCCAATCCTCTGATAACCCTGTTTAGCCTTGTTCTGTTCCAGTGATGAGACTATTTCTGGAATGTGCATTCAAATTGTAATATTATGTCAATCAAAAAACAACATTACCAACAATGGAATAAAGAGCTGTGTGCCTTTCCTCACCTGCTTGTGGGCAGAGGTGATCTTCAACCATAATTCTACTTGC